AAAAAAAAATATAATTTCATAAATTATCTCAAATAAAATAAATAATAATCAAAATAATAGAGATCAAATCTAAAAAATTAAAATAATAAAAGATGAAGAAATTAAAATAATAATAATTAACATTTTATAAATTATTTTAAATAAAATAAGTAACAATCAAAAGAATGAGGATCAAATTTGATATATATAAAATTTCAATAAAAAAATGATAAGAAAAGACAAATAACAATTATAAAAATAAGGATCAAAGTTAATATAAAAATTAAATTTTAAGAGATGAAATTGAAAATATTCAAAACAAAATATGTATAGCAATTAAAAGTTTGAGGACCAAATTTGATATAATCAGCAAATAATATAACATTTCTAATTTTTTTCACAACTTCCAAAAGGTGTTTTTTACCTAAATTTTCTAGGAAAATATTTTCTTGAAAATCAAACTAATTTTTTCTTTGACTGGAAAGTGTTTTCCGTTGACCAACTTTTATAACGACAAACAAACACAAGAAAGTTTGGTAAGTGGTTTTCCAAAAAGTGAATTCCGGGAAGCAAATAAAGCCTTAATGTTAATAAAAATAGGTCTCACACTAAGATAAAACTTTTACCAAAGGGAGGGAATGCTTGGCTGGGCAAAATTATAGGAGAGAAAAGGAAAGAACTCTAGAAAATTCTTAGGCGACTCATGAAAAAACTTAGAAAAAAGTAAAAATGAAAGAGAAAACTTGGAAGGTTAGTAAGAATTAAGTGTGTTAAACACCAAATTAAGAGGAAAACAAGTGTGAGGAGATAAATAAAAAGGAAGAGATGGTTGTCCAAGGAAGAACGAAAGAAAGGGAATTCTAGAAATTTATTTGGAGCACATTTAAGGCTTATACAAGTTGTTAGTAATATATTCTCCTTTGATTTTAATAAGTTTTCATGATAATTAGCTGATTTGAGTTGAAATTTTCAAGTTATATTTAGGATTTGAAATGGCTGAATTAAGTTTTTGAAAAATTAGTTTGAATTGGTATTATTGGTTTATATTTAGTTGTGATACTAGTGAAATTATAGAAAAAATAACTTATGTTTGTGTGTTATGGTGTATGGTCGGCCATGAAAGAAGAAATTGAAGGGTTGATTAAATTATTTTGTTTTTAAATATATATATATATATATATATATGTAAATTAAGAGAAAATTAACAAAGGAATTATAGTGGTTGGAAGGGAGAAGAATATGACCACGGTAGGTGAAAAATAGAGAACATTTTATATAAATTTGTATGTAAAGGAATTACGAGTGAATGAAATAATTTACATAATGTGATTAAGAGAAAAAGGTCTTATTGTTGCTAATAAAAATATAGGTTTATCAAAAGAAAAAGAAACGATAATTTACATAAATAAGTATATTTATTTAATGTATTTCTAATTGAATATCATGTTGTTTGGTTATGAGATGATGGGTGATAAAGTAACTATAAAAAAATTACATGATTTTGGTGAAATCATGTTTATTTCCTAAGGGTATACATGTTGATGTTGTCTTGACATTAAATAGAATTTTAAGTGAATTAGTATATATTGATTTATAATGAAATTAAATTTTAGAAAAATATGGTTTGCAATTAATTGGATTATTTGATGCGATGATTTTATTAAATAATTTATCATGCTTTAAAATTAGGTATATTGGGCTTATGGATAAGTTTATAATGAATGCAAATCCTATCATTATATTGGAGGTTGCTAGAAAAAGAGCTTAGTTAGAAGGAGTGAGATTGTCAAGAGCAGTAGATAGATGTTTTCATCTTTTTTGAATTTTAGAATTTATTCCATAATTGTATATCCTTTTTAAAATAAAATGTTAATGAATGTGTTAAAAAGAAAAGAAAAGAAACTTGCAGGATCGAGATATTACTGGATTTATTGGTAACCGTAAGAGGTTACTGGATTATTGGTAATTAAATGGATTACCGAACTTATTAGTAACCATAAGGGGTCACTAGAGTAATGACAATCAAATGAATTGCGAAATTTATTAGTAATTGAGATGGTTATCAAAGTAGTGAAATCAGTTGGATTGTCAGATGAATGACCTCCTTGAGAAAATAGATAGAATATTAATAATCAAATTCTGATTATGAAAATTGGTTATTAAGAAGTGTAATATTATAAGGATATTTAAATTAATGGTGATAATACTAGAGATAAGGACATACTGAGGAGAATTAGTAAAACTTTATGGATATTAACTTTTTTTATATCAAATATTATTTTAATCCAATCAGTTAAATATTTAATTTTATGTCCTTTATACATTCTTGATCGAAGTAATAGTGATTAGTATAGTATACAATTCAATTACATGTCCTTTACAGACTCTTGATCGAAGTAATAACAATTAGTATAGTATACAATAATATAGTTGTTGTAAATATATGACATGTTTAAAATCTTTTGAATGTATGACTAAATATTATTAGGATAGTATTTTGAGACATGTAATGCTTATATTATCATTTTTGAGATTGTAATTAATCTTAAAAGTTAATTAATTATGAACTTGTATTTATTATTAGAAATAATAATATATTGCGTAGAGTAAATATTTTGTATGCAATTTATGTGTTCTTGTTTAGATTTCAATATTTAGTTATATTTTAAATTCATGTTTAAATATATAATTGAATTGTTAAGATAATGAAAAATTATGGTTGCGTTTATATAAGACATGATTCAGGATGATTGGATCAAAATTGAGATTGGATAAATTAAAGTGGTGGATAGAAGTGAAAATATCGATAACTTGGTATATTGACATGTGAAAGAAACCCTGCCAAATTTTTTATAAAATAAGTATAATTATTACATGATAAACTAATTAAAAAATACAAAAGAATCCTTGTGAAATTTACAAATTATATATAGCTGTATTTAAATGGTAAAATTCAAGGATATTGTAATGTATTTATACGTAGCATATGTATGTGGTATGAAAGAATTTGTATGACCTGGAATTTGTATCTTGCATGGCTTTCAATGGCTTTGGCTTTGTATTGGGTGACTTGGTGTCTTTATACAACATTGATATCAAACCACGGAGAATGAAAAAATTGGTGTATCATTGATAAAGAAATTGATACTCAATATTGATTATCGAGCTGGTAATCTATTAGAGGAAAAAAATATGTTTGTCAATGTCATCTAATGCTTTTCATATAAGAAAAAATTATTAACTATCCATAATGTCATGTTGTGCGCAAGCTTTGAAATAAAAAGATAATATCTAGGTGTGTGCAATGTTTGCTATAGGTAACAATATTTTTCTATGAAGTTGAGTCATGATTAGTTATTGTGCCAAGTGTATTTTTGATAGAGGTGTTTGCTATAGGTAACAATAATTTTCTATCAAGTTGAGTCCTGATTAGTTATTGTGCCAAGTGTATTCTTGATAAAGATGGTGGTGATAAACAAGTGCTATTGA